ATACTGCTGGAAAGACACGAAAGTGTACAGTTATTAATCATTCCATAATCTCAGCTACTAGACCCAGGTCTTTCCTCTCCATGATACATGTTGGACTTTCCGTGTACATACATAGACATTTAGCATCTCGGCATTTGATAGACTTACTATCCAGTATTGGTGTCTGCGCATCATACAGTGAAGCAAGGCGGTATGAAGCCTCGGCAATGCTTGGCAAGCAGCAAAACGTCAGTGAGGAATCATTCAAGCAATTCGTATTCGACAACGCAGACTTTAATATACGGACCATAGATGGATATGGAACATTCCATTCCATGGGTGGGGTTATGTGTGTTACACCAGCTTCAGGAGTTAAGTCACAATCTGATATAGAGCGTGTAAAGACATGTCCGCCAGCAGAAAAAATAGCAGCAGTGAATAATGTGAAACTACAAAGATATAGTGCATCCAACACCAAAGGTATTCATAACATTGTGGTGGAAAACCCAGCCAAAATCCGACAACTTCAATCAGCCAATCCAGTTCACAGTTTCCTTGACTTTTTATGGATGAGTGGTTCATGGCTTTCGCCACCCAAAAATCCAAGTTGGAGTGGATATATGGAGTTGGTAACCAAAGGCATTATTAATTACCAGACATCTAAGGTTATAACATTACCATTTGTCAACTTGCCACCCAGCAGCTTGGACGCCATTTACACGGTTCTTAAATTTGCAGCAAATGAGTGCGAGAAATATGGGCAGCAAACATGTTTTGTTACGTTTGATCAGCCCTTGTACGTAAAAGCGGTGGATATGGTGGCTGCTTCCTCTAGTGGCAGTGAACTCTCTTCTGTCATTGTTAGACTTGGTGGTTTCCATCTGCTGATGTCATTCATGGGAGCTGTTGGTTACATAATGGGTGGGAGCGGCCTGAAAGAGTTGTGGAGTCTTATATATGCAGTCGACTCAGTTGAGAAGATGCTGAATGGACATGCTTATGCTCGAGCATTACGAGCACATTTTTTGACACAGCTTGCGTTGATAATCGTCATCTTGCGCAATGCGGAAATCGATGATTTGACCATCGAACAGATTGTTTGTCTTCACGAGTCGGTAATGGACAATAGTACTTCTCATGTAGATGCTTCTAAAAGTCCGGCACTTAATCGTGTCATAGAAAAGATTGAGGCAGTTCAGCTTTCTGCCAGTAATGAAAGTCGAACAGCTGCATTGTGGGTGCAATATATAAATCAGGTAATGCTAATGCGTGATTTCATACGTGCTGAAAGATGTGGTGATTGGAAACTTCACCTTGTAACAATCCGGAAAATGCTTCCGTATTTCCATGCATCGGCTCATCTCGCATATGCAAAATGTGCTCACTTATATATCCAACAGATGTCAACATTAGAAGAGAAGATGTTGCCAAATGAATTCGAAGCCTTTACCTCTAAAGGTTACTTCACAGTGAGGCGAACGGACAAAATGTGGGCAGGAGTATGGACAGACATGACCATAGAACAGGTACTAATGCGGGCTATGAAGACGTCAGGAGGTCTGACAAGAGGTCGTGGGATGACAGAGAGCGTTGTTAGTCGTTGGGTGTTGGGTATGCCAGGTTGTAGTGAAATTACTCAACACTTTGAAGCATTTTGTGATGTTACCTTCACCACAAGCGAGCAACATGTAGAACTTAGAATGTCTCGTCAATTGCGAGATCAGAAAGATGTTGATACCCTTCTTCAGTGGCTTATGGTTCACAGTCCCATGATGTCAACCAAGGAATTGATGTCAATAGCGACTGGTGTCGTGGCTGACAACACAATAAATTGTGATGCTGCTGTTAAAGTTGGAACAGAAGCAATGCAGAAAATATTGGGAAAGACGTTTGGAGACATCCAACTGCACAGAAAAGACAAAGTTCTTCCACTGTCCTGTGTCAACAACTCGGTAAAAGTACGTGAAGAGGTCATTCCTGTAAATACCATGCAGTTGTTTAACAGAATTGTTTGTGTCATCAAAACAGATGAAGATTTCGCCTCTTGCCTAGAATATGAACTAGCTCCCAGACCATTATCACTCTTTGATGAGATATCAATGAGAAAAACTCAGAAATCGGTCATGTATGATGTCATAGAATCTGTAGCTGATAGTCAACAGACATATCCTGCAGGTAGTACCGTCGTCTTGGATGGTGGATACTTATTGAGACGAGTGATATGGCCGCAACATGGCTCATACAGTGACATATATTCATCATATGTGACCTATGTTCAAAAACACTATGAAACACAAAGGGTCGTTATTGTATTTGATGGCTATAGTGACGCTCCGTCCACAAAGTGTGCTGAGCAAAATCGGCGAGCAATGAAGGCGCAGTCGACAGAGATCTTGTTCACGGATGACATGCCTATTACTATCCGTCAAGAAAGATTTCTGACAAATGGAAAGAATAAAGCACGGTTTATTGAAGGTCTAACGCGATATCTTGAACATGCTGAGATAGAAGTGAAACAAGCGGTAGCAGATGCAGATGCGTTAATTGTGCGAACTGCAATTGATTTGTCGACCAACAACAACGTTGTCGTAGTCGGAACTGATGTCGACTTGCTTATTTTGTTGATACAGCTATCGAAGAAAGACAACCAACTCTATCTGTACAAACAAGGAGCTGGAAAATGTCCAGATAAAGTATTTTCTATCAGAGATGTTCAGAAACATTTGACAGAAGTATCCAGCTCGTTGTTCTTTCTGCACGCCATGACAGGTTGTGACACTACCTCCGCCCTGTACAGACAAGGCAAGAAGAAGGCGTTCAACCTCTTACAGAAAAACGAGGAATTACGGCGCGAGGTGGTGAGTGTATTCAACGATCCAACATCTTCCCCTGATTCTGTGTCATCCGCGGGAGAAAAGTTTCTTCTGGCATTGTATAGTGCTCCTAAGTCAACAACTTCTCTGAATGATCACAGACACAAACGATTCATGAAAGCGGTAGCTAACTGTCCTGTTAACAACCAGATGCAACTCGCGGCTTTGCCACCGACATCTGCAGCAGCAAAGGAACATTCATTCAGAGTGTATCATCAAGTGCAACAGTGGTTAGGAGTGGAGTTGCCCCCAACTCAGTGGGGCTGGCAATTGAAAAATGGAAACCTGCAACCGGTTCTCACTCGTCAAGCACCTGCGCCTGAAAAACTGTTAACTTTGATTTCTTGCAATTGCAAGAGTGGCTGTGAGCGATCATGTGGCTGCAAGAAAGCAGGTTTGGTTTGCACCGTTCTGTGTGGCCATTGCAACGGAAATGGCTGCAGTAATTCTGAATCACCAATTGTATGTGAATCAGAAATGGATGGAGAACATATTTTTGATGAAAAGAGCGAAGGCATTGATGTTATTTCCGATTCGCCGATATTGGAAAATGAAGCATTTGATGTCCATGTGCCTGACGAAGAGTTGTCAATAGACAATCAATCTGATGAACTTGAATTTCCATCAGCAACTGCGAATCCACGAAAGCGGAAAAGTAAAACATAAACATATCGGGACAGTGTACAGTCTTTCGTGTAATAGAGTTGGGTGGAACCCCTGGCTAGGATTCTTGTGAAACGTGTTTTAATAATATTCACTTGTCAACTTTACTGTGAAAATTCCAGTTGTTACTTTGTGTCAGGTAATTTTGTATGTTATCGTGCTTATGACGTCATAATATTGCTGTTTAGTCTAAAGTAATAATTTTACGTACCAAAACATATTTTAAAAAATCCATATTTAGCGCAAATATAAGTAATGACGTCATGACCTCATAACGGCAGAAGCTCCAGTCGGATACATGAGGACTTTTACTATGTTATCAAGGTCACTGAAATGAGTGAATACCCCAATTTTCAACTTCTTACTAATTTTTTCCGACCTTTTTTACCATTTTGACTGTACTATATTGAAAAAATGACATACAATATTTTTTCGCAATTAATATTCACTGTATCATGGGCCAACGAACCAATCAGATGCTTGTATTTGTGTTGTTATGCCTCGCCCCAGCGTCCGCGTTGTATGTCACGTTCGCACTTCGTTCTGCCGGTTCGCGATTGACTAAAAATGCCAGTGTTTATTTCGCAGATTAACCTCGAAATCTCCCCAAATTTCTTCTGAAATCTGCTCCAACAATAAGAGCGTATTTTTTCCGATTCAAACGCATCGCTTCTGATATATTGTCGACGCATAGTTGCAATGCCTCTGCGAAGAAGGGCGATTTATGCGGCCGTAGTTTGTTGTCATTCAATACTATGCGTGCTTGCCCCAAAACGGGGAGTACAGCGCTCGGGTGTGATTCTTGAGCGCTTGTAGGCCGTGTAGACAATGCAAGCGCGGTAACCGAGTGAGCAGGTAGCCTTCTAGGCATTTTCACAACAAAACCTCGCTCATTTCTTCGAGGGAAAACGAATATGGGCGAATACTCGAACGAAAACAATAACTTAGGGGAAGAAATGAAGCTAAAACTATAAAAGTAAGTGAAGTATTTGTCATGTATTTGGCCTAATTTAATATCTATATGCATGGCTTGACCGCTCGCTTCGAGACAAACCACGCAAGCGATAACCAGCTGTTGAAGGGGATTTTTCACAAAGTTTCTTTTAAATTAAGGAATCCTAGTCGTTTCTTTTACGTTCCTGAACGATATTTTGTATTCATCAGTGTTTCTACAAGTTATGTGATTAAATTTTAGACAGAGTCGCCCGATGGTTCGTGGGTTTCCACGTAATAGCATATTTAAGACATTGCAATGGCGTCGTCAACTAAGAACGAAAAAATCGAGAAAGAACGGCCAACAACGATGTTTGAGGGCAAAAATATCCACTCGTCGCCAGTGGACGGCAAGTTGTTATGTAGCTTTAGCGAGAAGACGTGTATGCAACGGCGTTTGAATCATTATGCTTTCTGTATTCGTCACGTCTTGGAGGATAAAAATTCCCCCTTCAAACAGTGCAATTTTGTCGCAAAATATAATGGACAACGATGCACAAATGCCATTCCATTGAAAGAGGATCGAATGTGAGTTTCATTGCAAACGTTTGGCCTATTTTGGTCCCAAATTTGTCGCATGAAATTTCATATAAAATGTGTTTTATACAATGTGTATATATCGTGTGTTCCTTTTATAAAGGACATCTGTTATCAGAATGATAGTTATTAAAAGTATTTCTCATTCGCTTCATTCTTGTTTAGATATTGCAATAGTCATCTGCAAGTATTAGGGCTAGTCCCGAAAAAAGTCGAAAGAAAAAAGCCAGCGAGCAGAGCTTAAACACGGCCAAACCAAATCCAAAGCCTTCAACAGCGGAAATTTTACTGCCAAGTCATTGTGCCTCACAAAATATTTTATCAAAGCGGGGTGAAGGGGCCATTGGATGTAATGAAACTTCAAGACATTCATCAGAACATCGAGCTTCTAAGAAAGTTGAATTATTGACAGCTAATCCGCTGTTGTCCAAGCTTGTTAGCACCTATTCTCAAGCCAATTTTCAGAAACGAAATTTGCTTCCATTCTATGGTAAGAAATATAGATTTTCATAATCAATATGATATAAAACAGAACAGATTTTTCATGTAAATTGCATATAATGTGAATTCAACCCAGAGTCGGAAGCTGTAGGAATCTGGTACTGTAATAGAAATTTAATACTGCATTTTTGAGAATATTTTTGAACAATTTAAAGGCAATCAGTCAGATGATTCAGGTTTTTAAGGAACATCACATGTATAACAGCTATATATATGGGATGAGCTTTAAAGGCTATTTGGGAATATAATCTATAAATTGGATTGTATAAACCTTTATTGTGCAGCCTAGCTTAATGTGAATTACCTTAAAATATTTGGCCAATGCGGCAGCACAGACAACCAAAGTTCTGTTTAATAAATCAGTACCATGTACCAGAATCTCAAGTGTGGACAGAAAATTGGAGTGTGTTCACATATTTGTATGTCTATACAGTATAAAACTAAAAGTATGGTGCTATATCACCCAAAGAATGTTTATAAAAACCCATCAAATGATTCCCTGGTATCATACAAGCTTGTACTAATAGTATTTCCAGGGGTCGGTTGTTCGAAAGGCGTTTAGCTTAAAGGCGGATAAGCCAAAGTTTAAAATACTCTCATACATCTTGCAAATGACTGAACCTGCATCTTATGCATTTAATATGTACTTCCATTGACAATTAAACTATTCACATTGAAATATTTCAGCTCAGTTGTTCAATAAATAGATAATTGGTTTTCCATTTTGAACTTATCCACCGTTTAAGCTAAACGCCTTTCGAACAACCGGCCCCAGCACCCTAAAAGTCATCATGACACTAGGCAATTGTGACAAGTTTTGTATTTATTGGTGTCCTTTTAAAAAACTAAAAAAAACTAAATTTACTGAAAAAATAAAATAATGGTTAAAGTGATAAACAGTGCTTTTAAAGGAAATTGGAAGGTAAACAAAAATTAATTACAAGGCATTTTCGTACAATTACAGTACATCCACTTTGGTCTTCCTGTGTTAGGCTCTGTGTGTTAATAGGGATGTTCAGGTTTCCATGCCTACAATGAAGACTGCAGGTGTCCTCATTATATTTAAGTACATTTTATATGTGTTTTTCCAATCAAAGGTATATCTAGTTCAGATGAAAATGAATCTGATGATAATGATGACGATTTACAATTAAAGAAGAGGCAACTAAAAACTTGCACAGCATCAGAAACTGAAAGGTAAATTTAAGATTTTTTTCTGTAAAAGTTAGTTATTGGCAGGACTGCAAAGTGGGTAATCTGGGGTATGGTCTTACCTGAAGATTTGAAAACTTTTAAACTATCAATCAGTATTAAATGCAAAACATTTGCATACCGGAAGGTATTAGTGTTTTCATTGTCTGAAATGCATAGAAATTAAACTGTGAGAAGAAAAACAAGATGAGATGAAAAATATTTGCAATGTGATCCAAAGAACACATTTTGACTTGTTTTTTAATCATTCAAAATATGTAAGCATCAAGGACACACTTAGATGGCCCTATTCCCATTGTTATATTATGTTAACCTTACAGGATTTGTCTATTTGCATATATATGTCATTTTATTTACTTGTGTAATATGGTATATATCCAGTACAAAGTGTTTGTTAATGAATTATGTTTATTGGTCTTTTCAGTTCAAGCAAAAAGCATTTAGCAGATGTCAAACAAAATTCCAGATCGGCTAAACTGCAACGATTACGCAAACAGTTACATGCAGAACTTCTGGGTGTAAGAAAAACAATCATTTCTCACAACAAAGATGTAAAGCAGTCTGATGAAGCCCTTCGTTTACTAATGACAGCAGTTAAAACCAACCCAGCTCTAACAACGTCAGCAATTCACAATGAAAACAATTATGTGATGAGGTGAGACAGTTATATTTTCCCCTTATCATTACAAAATTAGTAAATCAATAAATTAATAATCAATAAATATATATCCTAACAATTTATATTTTAGCTATTTCTGAAACAATTTTTACAAACGCTGCGTAAATAATCACATATTAAATACACCTCCAGACAATATCCTTCAAAATTACCTTTATAATTTAATAAAAAACATTTTTAAAGGGCCGTAATTTCAGACTGGCATAAAAATTAGATTTTTCCCGCGCTTGCATTTTCTTGCCGACTCCGAGTGCTATCCCCCCCGGTATGCAAATTTGACGGTTTTCAGACAGCCAATCAGATTACGTATTCGTCATTTTCAAACGTTCTCAAAAGTCAACAGCGCGGGTCCAGCATCGTCCCATTCAAAAAATGAGTAAAATATTAAAAGCTTTTCGCATTTTTCTCGCTTCCATAATTTGTTTTCAATATTAAAATATAGCCAGTATGTGGTAAAATTATCGTAGATTTCATTTCTGTTGTTATTTTAGCTTAGTTTTAGGGATAAATTGAAGTATTTTTGGATTGTTTGCATGTGTCCATGTCGATTCGGGATTGAAGTTGCCTACCTTAGGATATATATACTATATAATGCCTACATTGCCTGAACACTGTCAGGCACGCGAGTCGCCCGTTGCGTAATACACAGGATGTCAGGATTTTAGTTAGCATGAATAAATGATACATGTTTCAATTGAATCAAAATACGGAAAGCTTTGTTCTAATTTTCAATATTTTAGTGCACTTTTATTTCAAATAAAACCATCGCTATTGGGCTGCCTATGGTCCCATTCAAAAAATGAGTAAAATATTAAAAGCTTTTCGCATTTTTCTCGCTTCCATAATTTGTTTTCAATATTAAAATATAGCCAGTATGTGGTAAAATTATCGTAGATTTCATTTCTGTTGTTATTTTAGCTTAGTTTTAGGGATAAATTGAAGTATTTTTGGATTGTTTGCATGTGTCCATGTCGATATCGGGATTGAAGTTGCCTACCTTAGGATATATATATACTACATAATGCCTACATTGCCTGAACACTGTCAGGCACGCGAGTCGCCCGTTGCGTAATACACAGGATGTCAGGATTTTAGTTAGCATGAATAAATGATACATGTTTCAATTGAATCAAAATACGGAAAGCTTTGTTCTAATTTTCAATATTTTAGTGCACTTTTATTTCAAATAAAACCATCGCTATTGGGCTGCCTATGGTATGTTGTGAAACACAGAATCAGATCTTAGTAATAAGACAAAAATCTTATATGTTAAAAAATATTTTTGTATATACACCAAAATATGTGGTATAATTTCGGTATGTAATCACTAATCAGTCAGGCTTAAAATAAGCATTACTTTCCATAAAATGGAGCTACGTGATTAGCTAAAATGAATATTTCAGCTGTCTGATTAGGGGTGGAATTTAAAATTTAAAAAGCAAAAATAAATGCGAAAATGAAAGTTAATCGATATTGTTAGTAATAAAACATTTGCAAAGGGTTTCTGGTAAAACGAACTTCTTTGGGTTTCTGAAAATGTGTACCACACGACTAATAGAAATTTCAAATTATTTTCAATTGCATAAGTTTTGCTGTATTGTCTGTGCAGTGAAATACGAGACCCGGATAATATTCATCGTACTTCGAAACAAAAATGCAGCCACACAATTCAGGAAAGAAATTAGCCTTGGATTTTACATTAAAAATTAGAAATGCCGGAATACGCTAGTCAACGGCTTATTTTTTAAAAGCTTATTACCATTTTAGTAAACTAAACACAGCAAATATACAAAATGTACCGGATATTACAAAATGAAACAAATATAAACATATTATTGTGAAACTTATTATGGTGAAAATGTTCGCGGAAGTACTTTGTACTCGCCCAAACACGGGATCGAAAATATCGTTTTTTGGTGAATGAATGGCAGCGCAGTAGCGAATTGTTTATTTGAACTAATAAGTAATGCACTATGACATTGAAAATTTGAACAAATCCCAACTTTGAAAATGCAATAGGCAACTATGCTTCGCGATCACTGACGTCACTGAACTAGCAACGTAACTGGACTATTTACTTTTTCTTTCAACAATATTTATTGGGGTTCCTATGGTCGAACGGACACAGAAAAGACATTTTGCCGAACAGACCATTTGCCGAAAATTGCGATACTTTTCATTGTGAACACCCACGTTGTTTGTCAAATGCTTGGGTCATTAACGGTCATTGGCGGTGCATAACCATAACGAAAATTTGTTTGTGTAGCGGATGACTCATCTCTTTGGAATGTGTTTTTAACCTATATAAAGGCAACAATTGAAGCACATTTTATTCTAGTATCATGGAATACATTCAAACTTCGCGGGGAAATCGCAAACTGCTTTTCGAAGGTTATGTCTATGTTTTGGATAAGAAAAAAGAAGAATCGGCTTACTGGAGGTGCGAGAGACGTAAAGATTCTTTGGATGGATTGAGCATGCTCAGAATTGATGTCTTGAATTTCTGGTCATGCTCCAGTGCACGGCAGGCCACGGTGGTCACATGGGTGGAACAATGTTTGGTTTATTTTATTATTACATGATGTATCACAGAAGGCGATAGATCATGTGATTTATCTATTAATAACTTACAAAATCAATATAAATAGATATAAATAAATTTGGCAAATCCACAGAAAATGGCAGCATATATTTTATAATGGAAAATACTTGAACACTGATTGGCAATTACTAAAACCAACAATAAATTAACTCCTACCATTTTCTGAAGATTTGGCTATTCTCAAAAGATCAACTGGAACTTCTAAATGCAACCATTATTAAACTTTCACCAACAGAGCATTTTTACAAAACATCTTGAATACTTAGGTTGTATTCAGAACATAAACCAAACATCTGAAGTTTTGTTTCTTTCGAGACAAAACAATCAATACATCTCTGTTTATTGCAACTGTGTGCTCGTAATCCTCCTCAATATCTTCAACACCTACTTCCTGTATGTGTCGTCCTGTTTGATTGTCATAGAAACCAACAACACCCTCTCCTTGCTTTGTTAAGTTAAGGTAAAGAACCACCAGCAGATCGAGCTCATAATCATAGTCAAAATCTTGAACAATCTCCATCTCCAGATATTTCAGGTCACCCTTAAACAAATTCTTAATTTTTCGCCCAGATTTAGTTTGGACAATGGTGGACGTTTTGGTTTCTGGGAGAAAGTTGAGGGTAAACTGCTCTTCTGCTTTGACTGCTGAGTTTCTGTCAGAGGAGTTTAAACGCCTTAACTTTATACATCTAAATTAAAACACAATATATAGTCAGGGATGGATCCAAATTTTGTAGAGGGAGAGGTGCAGACCAGTTTGCCAAGCATATAGGTTGGGTACAAATGCCAGCTATTCAAAGATATTAGAATGTATACTTATTCAAAAATTACAAAAATGGGACCATAATGTGCTACACACAGATTATCAAAGAAAACTTTAAACTTCCAAATACCCTAAAATACCTACAACTTGGTTGACACCCAAATTTGTACCCCTCCTTCACTCCCTTGGACCAGAGGGGGTGTTCAGCACCTTACACCCACCCAGTAAATCGATTCATGTAATATTTATTATAATTTCTAATGCTTCTTACTCCTTGCAAAAATCGCAATTATATTCCAGTGTACTCACCGAAGATATGGTGGTGCTATGAATAATACCCGTCCGCTCATATCTGGATGGAAAAATGCCTCTTCTGTACCAAAATATATGGTATCATCAATGTTAAGGATACCATTCTCTGCCAAAGTATGATCTCTGACTGAATGAACTTTAAATATATAATCAATGTTTGACACATAATGCCATGGAAATCCACCAAAACTTAAATCATGTCTTTCATGATCACTGCTTTTCACCTCAAGTAGCACAGGTGGTTTCTCAAACAGTAAAACATTAACCGGTAACCCAAGTGGAGGCATCCCAACAATACCGCCGGCAAATTGGTCATCTATTTCAGGCAAACACAAGTTGTTTCCAGGTTGTAACTGCTCTCCCACCTTCAATGGAATTGTATGGTTCTTCAGGATATCTTCCAGACTGAAAAATTGAAGTTTTAGCCTTTGATACATTACCACTAACATACCATCATAAACGACTACATTGCAAATGCCCTTACCAAAGATCTTTTGAGATATTGGTAGCATGCATATGAACTCCAGTGGAGTCGTGGTAAAAATAGCAATGTATAACAACACTGGGTCCGACTGTGGTGGAGTACGCTGCGTGACATGCGCACTACTTCCTTGTGGTAATAGAGTAGATTGCACCACAAGTCTCTCAAGGTCTGTCTCCCAGTGCAAATACTTGAATTTTCGACTTGGGTATAAATAAATTTGCTTCACACTTTCTCCAGTGTTGAAGTCGAAAACTTTCAAGTAATTGTCGGCCGTTACCCCGACGGAATACGGACCATGAACGTAGAACGTTCCTTGAAGTTTGCAAAATGTCTCCTGTTCGATTGGACATTCGTAAACTAGCATTTCTTCTGTCTTCAATCTCGTTGCTGAGTGCGTTGGGTGTTTCGTTACATTGTAGACAATCCTTGGCCTTCTTTTCACATGCGTTAAATCAATGGAAGTTCTGTAGTAGTTGGTATACAGTCGTTCACCAATATATACAATTGGTGTCTTTGAATCAATTTCACGGACTTTTTCAAATTTTCTGCTAGACTCGATCATTGTTCTAACCATACGAACATCTTGTTGCACATTAGTTCCATAGATTTGACGATAAATAACCGCCTTGAAAATGCTTGAATATCTTTTTTTCCGAGTAAAATAAGCCATGATTTCCAGGATTTTTGATGCAACATACCTTCACATGACATGACGTATCAAACCACCTACAGATGACCTAAGTAGCGCTGGCGCACAAAGGCCGCGACGTTCGAATGTTGATGAGTTGATCTCACTGAGCTATAATATAATTCCTGGAGGACCGGCTCGCGACCAAAAAGTGAAGCAAAAAACATGGCGGATTTCGGCGTTTGCTGACGCCAGATTGACGCCACTGGTTCCTATTCGCCATGGTAGTTACCACTGACCAAGGCTCAATTCTGAGCCCGCTACAAATGCACTCCCCCCTGGTTTTTGTTAAAAATAGTATTCAGTTCTCATTATTATATTTTCCGAAAAAAATTTAAACGTCAGTCAATATTTTTGAACTGAAAACTTTTTGATCAGATATCGTTCGACGTTTTTGTGAAGATATGAAAGTCGTACACGTTACTTCTGTCAAAAACAGGAAACAAATACCAACAGATATATAATAAAACTTCAAGAAATTTGCCGAAACGAAAATGCAGTTGACTGACAGGTAAATATATTATTCATAAATTTCATTTTTTCGATAAAATTTCACCATTTTTTTTCGTTAACAGTCTTTAGATAGATGTCGTTGCTTATATATTTTAATATTTGACCAAAAGACGGCGGCACGAGAAGTCAAATGTATAGTTTGAAGTTTGAACAACTACTAAAAAGATTACCCTATAGTTTGGAAGTAATTTATTTTACATATTACATACATATATTACAGGCATTTTCTTCCAAAGAACGCTAAAAGGTAACATAATGTAAATTCAAGTCCAAAGAAACAGAGGCTAAGAATCATTGGGAGGATGAAGATGTATAATTTCAACCAAGGGTAGCCTGCCTATTTGTTTAGCTGGATTTCATTAGCCAGAAGAAATAGTTTTTCTGTACTGAACTATATCAGCATATATCATGTATATTGATGAGCTTATTAGCTTAAACCTATAAGGATGAACTATTAAATTGAAAGCTTCCAGGAGTCAGCACCATGCAGTGGTCAACACTATAATTGTCTGACTGCACAGGCTATGCTCTTTCCATGGTATAAAACCAATAATTATGGCCCCTGGGGAGGTCATATGCTTTTCTATATTTGTAAATGATAATGCAGAGGCTGCATTAAGGAAGATTAGAACCAGGGATGTTTATAGGCCAAGATAGCCATGGTAATTATTATTGATTATATGCAAAAGGGGCTTACCAGCTTCTCCCAGATTAGCCTGCAATTATGACTGGAAGTGTTCTTTGGAAATTAAATAAACAAAGACTTATCAATTGTAATATTTATTTCTTTAAAGAAAACATTGTAAGTTGTAAAAATAATAAAACAGTTTCTGTATTTAAGAATGTGTGTAGTTCATGGGTATAATAGTATGATTGTTTCAATTCATTTCTCCAGAATTTTGCATAACATGCCTCCACTTGATACACCAAACCCTATGTTATTCCTGCAAAGAAAAAGATATGAGATTTACTGTATGTATAATACACCCTGTAAGTGTTGACAAAATTAGTACAGATAATTTAGTGTCAGCTACTGAGGCCATGATGATGCCTCAAATGGAGGTGTGAGAGAATTTAGACAAGTTACTTTCAGACCTTGCTCCTTCAGATATATTTTTGTTCCTATTGCATCCTTTATATACTTTGATCTAATATATCTTGTATGATTTTTCATGAAAAGATGGGCTATAGACACATTGATGATTGATCTGGTTAGACCTTAGTTTTGGCTCAACTACATGGATTTAAATCAGTGTAAAATATAATGGATAAACAAATATTAATAGAAATATGTTTAGTTAAACAAATTAAATGTTAGTAAATTTATTATTTCTGTTTTCAGACCTTTCATAGCCGTCGAACTATGGAGGCATAATTTTTAGTTGACGTTCAGAGTTCAAACATCAAGATTGCGAAGTCCTTTTTAAAACTTTTACCTGAGTGCAAATTGCCAGGAATTTCTTCTTTGATAAGTGAATCGCGGTGGGAACAAGACGAGCAAAAAGCTGCTTCTTTGTTGAAGTTGAAAAGAACCAGCAAAAAAGGAAAAAAATCCATGTTTTTGTTCAAAAACAAAAAATTTCGTAAAAACAAAATCCTGTTTTTATCGAAAACCAGGAGGGTGCTCGCATTTTTTCATGCTTTGGATCGCGGTTGGTCAGTGGTAACTACCATTGCAAATAAGAACCAGTGGCGTCAATCTGGCGTCAGCAAAGGCCAAAATCCGCCATGTTTTTTGCTTCACTTTTTGTATCTCAAAACATTAGGAGCCGGTCCTCCAGGAATTATATTATAGCTCAGTGGTTGATCTTCTCTGGTAATATTTTGACAATTTGAAAGAAAATTTTATAAACTTAATCTAAATTGTATCGCGATGAGCAAGGCCCATCCACCCGAGCTGAAAAAGTATGTATATTACCTTTATCCTATATCACTTTTGATGTATATATTCAGAAAAAGCGCTTTACCTGAAGCGAGATATTTGCCATAGAATAGAGGTCTTTTTTGACGCACGACTTCATCTGCATGCATTATGATATACTTCCCTGGATACGCGCTAAAAGATTGTAAATCCTCTTTTCAGGTACATGGACAAGAAATTATCAAGTAAATATTCAATCGAGATTACCTGCATCATCTCAGAACAAAGCTTCTAGGAAAAAAAATATATAGATTTGATCTAACGACAGCTAATGTGTATAATGTATTGTGATTTTCTAGTTAAGATCAATGGTGGTCGACACGTAACTGGGGTTCTTCGAGCCCCATTTGATCCGTTCATGAACATCGTTCTCGATGAGGCCGTTGAGAACGTCTCATCTAGTGAGAAACATATTAAATATTGGCATGGTGGTAAGATATAAAATAAGTTCAAATTATCGATAAGAATAAATCTTGCTGCCATCTTGTTTGTCCAGATTCATTGCTCTGATTGGCTGGATTTGTCACTCCAAATCCGTATATAATTCAGTGAAGTATAAAAACACGAGCCACATTCTCAGCACTGTAGATTTTAAGCATCGCATGATGTGCAATCCAGGTTTATTCACGAGGCTTTCAACCCTCTCACATACATACTGTACATGACCTCATTTTCTTCTCATTTCCAGGTTATTCGTGGTAATAGCATAGTAATAATGGAGGCTTTGGAAAGAGTATAGCGTTTCCAGGATTATCTTTGAGTGACTGGTGTAGAATATGAGCACTGTAATATAAACTGTACAAAATGAAACCATTTGACCTTGGCTTGCCTGACTCTTTCATGATAGATCTTGATTAAAACACAGGCTGAAAGAAGTGTATTGCTAAATTTGACCAAACATTTTGTATTTTTAAAATAAAATAAACACTGGAAAACAACTTGATGTATCCTCAGAAGTTCTATTGTGGCAAGAGTAGATACTGCTAATTTGTAACAGTATTTGTACTTTTTTCTATTGTGTTGAACTCCTGTCAAACTAACCTTGCTCAATTGGGTGTTCCTGTAAAAATATTGATCAAAAACAAATATACTGCTACTTGTTCATAACAGGTTGAAAGGAACCATGCCAAATTAGGGGTGTCTTGGCCAATGCAGTTACTTGTAAAAAGATGATTTTTACAAACAGTCCAAGTCCATTTTGCTGAAGACTCTTTGTACTGACAAGACTACCAAAATATTTCACGTAGATGTCGCTTGATGCAACCTACAGCACGTAAGCTCTGCGCATGCCTATTGACAGCTATGTCCATGTGTTTCCTGTGGAAGCTCTTTAGCTTCTGGAACAGGTTAATCACTGAAAATGTGCTTCTAAAATGCGATTAAGACGAATTACACGTTAATACCAACTTGATCCTCTTTCTAATTCATCAACAATTGCTTTGCAAAGACGTGGACTTTGTTTGCGCAACCTTGATACCTGGGATTTCAATCGAAATAATTAGAAGGCGTGACTGTTTATTAGTTCAATTGGAATTCAATTAAGACTCAAAGTTCGCAAACACCCAGTGCAATTACGAAGCTATCTTAATCCCGAATTTCAAGTTATATTTAGATCATATTACTGGACTCAAAATATGCTGAGGTTGGAAAAGGAAGATAAACATTAAGGAAGATTAATAAATTAAGTATATCTATTTAAACGTTGGTATTCCTAAAGTCAAAACGCTTTATGTTCAAGAATTATTTAGGGTAGTGAAAATGTACGTGATAAATGAATATCACCCCTGATTCTCTAAAGCTTTAAAAATCATGATAAACATCTTGACAATGCATTTGAGCCATCATGTAGAAAACGTCTATTATTACAATTATAGCTACACTTAAAATTATATATTATGTCAATGTTCTTTGTGCTATAATTTCTATAATATAGAATTGTACCTAGTTCCCAGGATATTCGCTCTGCGAACACTGGACAGAACAAGTATCCTGGGGTATGATTGTTAATATACTATAAAAGCAATTTTTCAAATTGATTACACCTACGTTTGCATGATGGGTAAAAATTTTTGGGTAATACGTTTGCTTTCGTTGATATCAAAAAAATTTGAATCAATCACCGCTGTCGTGATCACGTCATAGAAACTGATATGAAATAGTCCAGTGTGTAAAGGCCTATTTAGACTACACGATAAGTTGTATGCAATTATCATTCTGACAAATGCAAAAGAGTGCCTATGCCACAATCTTCATTCAATTTTGTTCAGGTTAGAATTTAAAGTGTGACATTTGTACGTGTGTTCACACGTTCACATACGCCAGGGTACGAATCGTATACGACAAATCGCATAGTGTAAATGCACGGGCCTTAACATTTGCTCACACCTTCGTAGAAAAACTTTAAATCTTTTATTACTTCGCATAACCACCTTAAAGTTGGCTCCATGGACATAAACAAGCTTTTCGATTCCTGCCGCAAATAGTTGCACATTTCACCACTGCTTTGGTTCATGTTTAAAACTAAAAGAGTTGTTTATGATTTTTGTTCGAGTATCACCTCTGGCTTCAAACACTTTCAACCACATTTATTCGATGCCTTCAATCAATTCCCATGAAATCTTCGCGACAGCAAGGAAATAAAATTTGATATGAAATTTGTCAAGGAATATTAATTGCTCGACTGTGAAGGAGCTTCTTCAAAGTTAAGCTGAGGCGCTGTTAGGTATGCAATCACAGATTTGATTCACCTGATGAAAACTACGTTAAAACTTAGCTTACCCAGGCCCCTCCGAAGGTCCCCGACGGTCTACGAAGCCAGGAATTGTTATATTTAGTGTTACCTTCATTTTTTATTAATCAATTTTGAGCATTTGGGCGAAGTCTTCCTGTTTCTGTTGCCTTAGTTCAGGTTTTACCTTCGTCCTCTTCAGCTGACCATCCCTGTGGAGAGAAAAAAGTGATCTATTAATCAGCTCGTTGTCGAATACAGCTTAACATTACTAACTCTTTAAGTTTTTTTTAAATAGTTGTTCTACCACATTTGATCTAATGAATGCAGCAGAGGGAACAAACTCTGCAGGCATTCATCTTAAATTCAAGACACCAATTGAGCAAAAAAGACTTTTCTATAACAAAATCCTTCAACTTTATGGATTAGTAGTGTGTATTGTGATGCAGGACAGAACATCGAGCAAATCACGTACCATATTAAATCGACCAGTCCCCCCTGTCTTGCGATATCAGCTTTTACTCTGTTCGCAAACTGAATAGCAGTTTCATTTTCGTGTCTTGTCACGGGGGGGAGGTACCAAACGTCACAGACCAACGCCCAACTTGACATAATATCCAGTAAGTAATGAACCATAGAATATTGACTTGAATTCCAGAATGCGTTCGAAAAAAGCGGGTCATACTACACGTGCAACAGAATGAGAAAGAAGACCGCGGTAAAGTGGGCACTACATTTCTTTTTAGTACATTTTACATGAAATTACTGTACAACGAGGGTAAAATTATTCAATACTGTCTGCCAACAGAAAAGTGGCCTCATTTTATATAATAGTAAATTACTTTTTTCGTACCTTTATTGCAACAGGATAAATCGTTCCGCCGATTTCAAAACTGCCTTTCTTGAACATCATAACGGAGGTGTTATTGATGCAAGTTCCTGGAAAACGCATTACAGTCAAATTTTTAGACCGTTTGATGGAATTTGGTTAATAAACTGAAGCACAGGATTCTTCGTACCTTCTGGAAATATAAGCATGGGATCTTTGTTCGGATCTTCAACATGTTCTCGCAGCCTAAAAGTTGAATATTTTGAATTAAAGATGGATGGGGAGATTATTTTCCGTGCCCCAAAATATAACCCTCCGATCGATATCCAGCCCTTCTCTACAAAGAGCCACTACCCTGGGTAGCATTCCCCTAAACAAAAAATTACCTCTTCGCCACGGTTAACCGGTCCTTCATTTCAGATCTTTCAAACCAAATATGATCTTGCACGTTCGACAAAGATTTTTGCATAAAGCCAAAGAGACCACCTTGGTTTTGACCAACCTATGTATACGAAAAGTGGACACAGACGTAACACAATGAACACTGTAACCACTGTAATATCCGCATACCTTGTCAACAGTGCTGCCGCTTGACTCAGCACGTGTAAATGTTTACATCGACTTTCATGCTTTAATAGTATTCCGCGTAGGTAGAGCACTTTTAACATCTTTGAGGCTTTTCTCAAAGATCAACAACTATCTTGTCCGCAAGTAATTATTGCTCTCATATATGAAACATCTTGCCTCTGAGAGCTCAAAAGGACAACTGGTTTCGTACGGGACATAATCGATAATCATAAACATGAATTTCAACATCATGTGGTAACAAAGTCCAGAACCAGAACATATGCAATGACGTGAGGATATAGCTTAAAAGATGGAGAACTTACAAAAGAATAGTTTCCATCACAGGCCAGCATAATGGCATCAATCCTGAGGGCCTTCGTCACCTTAGGTCGAAACGTCGAGAAGTGTTTTGTCTATTTTAAGCAGTTGTTATACCACATTTCACACACATGTAGTTTCATATTTCATTGTTAGCGTCCTTTTCACATTTGTATTCCACCCGTTGAAGGCTATAGACAGATATAGACTGACGTTGAGGACTATAGCCAAAAGCTTGTGATAAATTAGTATTTCAATCAGAGAACGTTTTTCAAAAAGTATTTTATTTATTTATTTAAAACGCATTAAAACCAGATGACCTGGTTATATTATTGAAATAGAAATATAGATAATTGTGAAAATTCTATAGAATCACTAATGTCACGTTAAATTCTTCTTAGACTTAGATGGAATTAATTTCTTATATCTACGTATCACAGCGCTAATTCAGGAAATGTCTTTTTCCTTACTCCTTAGGCTTATAGAAATCACTTAGCAAGCACTGGAAAGGACCCGAGCAAACTTGATGAGACAATAAAATTCCTGAAACACACCAGTGCAATGGTCCAACTCTTTTCGGATAAGCACCAGATATACCACGTAAACGATCCGAGACTGAAGGAATTAGAAGGATCACTTCAGTTTTTCTCCGATTGGAAAGATCAGGTGACCAAAGGGGCTCATTTCCTATCAGAAAAGTTATGGTTCGATCTCCAGTCAATGGTACATGGTTTCATATCCATTGTTCAAACAAAACTGTCACGTTTTCCTGGGTCCACAATCAAGCCTGCCATAATGAATCAAGATATTGTGGAAAATCATTTTTCGCAATTGAGAAGCGCTAATGGGCAAAACGACAACCCGACTTACGCAGCTGTACAAGGTACACAAAATTCCATCATATTCGGCCAAACATCAATCAGCAAGAAGAGCAACACTGGCTGTACGCAAACAACTCGTTCTCGAATTTGCCCAACCATCGCCCTTTCGCCCTTGGGAATAATAATAAATCACCGATGCAAAAGACATTCAGTTTATTAATATAAGCTGTTTATTTTAAAGCAGCAACCTCACATGACGTTATTCATGAACCAACTAGTCAAAAATACTAGTTAACCATTGACTCTATGGAACTGTTAACATTGCAATCGTATAGTTATATTTATAATAATTATTAAGTGCTTTTAAAAATGTTATAGCTAAATACCGTTCACTTTCATCTATAAACGACGTAACCTTAACGGCGGAACACGCATCGTATCGTCTATGACTGAATTTTGATTATGATCAACGACAAACATTGACGTTATTTGGGGGCAAGGCATAATACTATGGCTCTGAATAGCTCGACACAGTTCGTTTGCTAGTTTAGTCTTGTTCCATTTTGCAAGAAAGCGACAATCATATGAACTACAAAGTTTTTGGAGTTCCTTCTTCTTGTACAATTGTACCATGCCGTTACATTTGACTTGTTTTACCAGGGCTACCAGACGCGTATGAGAGACTTCCTTGCCAGGACTTCGGTCTTGCTCGATCTCGGGAACGTTGACTTTCATTCGCTTTTGCCGAGCTTTTTCTCTTCTTTCCAGGACAGCTTTGCGATGCGCCATTGTTTTCTTTATTTGGAAATCTCTTCGAAGGTCGCGCAAGAACTGACCCGCACCCATCTTGATATACCTTTCTGACACATCTTTGTATATTAGATATACTAGGTCCTACGAATCAGAATATTTGTAAAAAATATAAATTATATGCTTAATATTTACGTTTTATACTATTCTGACATTTTCACTACTAAGACACCAGAGAACTTTGACTTGTGTAAATTTCATTTTTATCATTCTCACCTTGTTATCGTCTTCAATGGCAAATATATTTTGAAACATTCTTCGCAAGTGGGCATCATTTAGTATCTCTGCTAATGCATCATCGATCAAATCATTCTGAAGAGCAGCAAGCATGTTCGTGTTAATTCGATCTACTCGCTTCTGTTCAAGTGCCAAGAAGAATTCGTATGTTTTATCACTTATGTGCAACAGTCCTCGCTCCCTATATTGTCGTACTTCGATTGCACTGAGCGTTTCTTGTTGCTTGAGGTGGTTTCAAGGAATTCATGTTGGACAGTAACATGGTTTTCCAATAAGGTGATTTTCTTCATTTCAACATTTATATTCGTGCGAACGGCTGGTGATGTTGAAAACATATTTCCTACGACATAGGATCGGTACTTATCGAGGCATTTCTTTATTGTCCAGCCACCAATATACCTGACTTTCCCTCGACCTTCTGCGCCCATTGCGTGCACGTCGAACTCCGCTGATTCTTCTGCTTCTCGTTCACGAGTTAGCTTGACCAGTTTTCCCACAAATAGCTGGTAAATATGTAGAAGGAGGGATGCAGCCAAACTTCTTTGTCCATCATCGATTTCAATCCACTTTCTGAGACAAAAAGCACTGACAACATCACTTCTAAATTCTTGAGTGAGGAACAATTGTGAACTTTCCCTGTAGCCCAAGTGAATTCTTTGTTTGTAACGTGCAAATCGTCACAATTTTCGGACAAGTGATCCTCAAACAACGCATATATCCGACACCAAAATATTCCACTTAGTAGGCGAAATAGGTCTATATGAGCAAGAGCGTACGATGCTGCCGATCGAAGGGATTGACTGAAGGAATCGTGAGATGAATCATTTACGATGTCCTTCAGAAACGATTCTATCTTGAACGTTGTGGGAGGTCGGGACAATTCGTCGCTAGAATTCACCATACATAATAGGACATCTTCCAGATCTACAGAGCTCCCTTCATTTGCCTCAAAAGCCTTTCTTGCGCAGGCTACGAAGTCCTCGTCCACTGCATCACTAAGCGTATCACCTTGGCAGCCATACAGAATTTCGTCGTCGTTTTTCGTCTGAAAGAAACTGTCATCGAGAACAACATTCTTGCAGCATGTGTGATCAAAGTGCGGAGCTCGGGAGTCTTGGGTATCAAGACAGTTTAACTCGCTAGGTGATGGCAATAAGAACCGACGATGAAATCCATAACTTGAAGGGATGACTCTTTTGTAGCGCGTGACAGTGCGACATATGTCTGACCTGGAACAAACTCTTGGGAACAATGAATCACAACACTTGGCAGCGTCATACCTTGCGCCTTATGAACGGTAATTGCGTAACTCAATGCAATGGGAAATTGGGTTCTGCTGGCTTTTATTGTCCCATATCTGTTGTACATGTACCATGTTCGTTTAGAAATGGCGACATTTCCAATTCGCGGGAATTTTACGACCAGGCAATCATTTTCTGCTCCAACAAACTTTCCTCGAGAGCCGTTTTTAAGTTGTGCGTTAGGTTATAGGTCAGCATTACATTGCACCCTTTCTTTAAACTGACAATCTTGCGAACTGTGGTTTCCAGACATTGCGCACTACCCGTGTCGCTGCTCTCAAACATCATTAGGTCTCCTGGTATTTTGATAGAACATCTAAATTATGAACGCTGACAGGCAATCTCTTGAAAAAGATATGAACAGGAGGCTCGTCTGAGTCGCAATGCGAGATAGGTTCTTCCGATAAACCTTGGAGATATTCCTCTGTCGCATCATCGCATTGTCCCATCGTATTTGATCTAATGCGGCTTTCAACTTTAACTCTTCACCCCCTTGACGCCAAATCGTTGTCAGTTTAAATCGATGTTTGAATGCCTTTTCAAACAGCTCCGAAGAATATATCACTTTTCCTAAATCGAATGGACCTGGAATCGGCTTCAACTGCCAGAAATCACCAACTAAAATGATTTGAACACCTCCAAAAGGATGGTTATTTTTTAAGACAGTGTGTTGAAGAAGATTGACTAAACTAAAATACGTTCACTGGACATTGAAATCTCGTCCCAAATTACTGCGTTAGTATTTTCTATGTTTTCGAGTATATTCTGCCGTCGAAGGGAACGTTCAATCAAGAGACTATCTGGCAGCTCGCAGTTTGCAAGCCATAGTGGGCGTGGACAGTTTTAGCCCCACAGTTATAAGCCATGCACGATATCCCACTTGATGATAGAACTTGAACTTTAATTCCATTTGCAGTTAATCTTTTCGTTATTTTTCGACAACTGTAGTCTTTCCCACGCCAGCCCTTCCAAATATGCAAACATTATGGCCAAGTTCTGCGAGGTCTGCGACGTCTTGTTGCTCTTTTGTCAACTTGATGGATGATAAATCAACCGTTTGATTCATGGATTGATGTAATCTCTGTAATAAGGAAGATGTTTATCTACCGGCCTGTAGTTCGCAAAGGTGGATTCAGATCCTATTGCATTTCACATAAACTACAACAACTAAGATGAACTAAGTGAGGGGTGTGAACTATATATTTTGATTTTTCATGCGTGACACCAGTTTATTCCTATAATCAGTATAATGTGTGTATTTTGTTAAAATTGGATGCATGCAAACTTAATAAACAGTTATAAGTATTTCAATTATTTCGATAACCTTCCAACAAGGTCGCGTTTGTGTATTATATATATTATAACATTCTAGCTGTATTAACTGTATACTATAACATTCTGGCACGTGACCCTCCCCCAGCACTTGTTACGTCATTTGACTTGAATATAACCGGTCAGACCGGTTTTCGCCATCAAAATTACAGACACGTTTTTGGCAAACAGCAAAGTGTTCGACGAGCGAAAAATCGTGCATTTTCATGCATTTTTCGTAGTGATCTGGGCTCAAATTATGAAAAAAAAACTACAGGAATGCTGGCAAGGTATGAATGAACAAAAAAATTTAGTTTTCTTCGGCATTACGATCTTGTTTATTCATGTTTTTATCGACGATTGATCATGTGGTTTTTCAGCCGTTCTTTTTTCGATTTCCTTATTTATTGCAGATTCATGGATTGCCTGCTTGACGAAATTGCCTACTTGTGTGTCATCTGAAACCTTTAGCAATATTCTATTGGTAGAAAATTGATGGATCAACTCAAATGGCGTTTTTCTGGACGAGTACTTTAGCAAAGATTTTTGTTTTCGGTCCCTTTGTGAAAAGCCGCACGTCAACTATTCCTGCATAATATTAAATGTATGGTCGTGAAATCAACATTAATACGCATGGACTCTTATAAACATGATGTATGCTGGTAAAGAAAAGACTAAAAGAGTTTGGTTGACTGGCGTTTAAAGAAGTCGTAATATGTCTATTGGTGAGTTTTTTTAATACAGTTCAAGTTTAATACACCTATACAATCATGATTCTACTGTGTATAGCAATAGCATAGATTTACTGCCGTTATGTTATTGGTAAAAGTATAGATTTTTAAGCTTTCCCTTTCCCATGAGTGTGGTAATCGTAAAAAGGAAGACATGCTTTTTTTATATGCGTATAATTCCTGGTGAGAAAGTATTTTAAGCCATATAAGGGACAGTATCTGAGTAATTCAACCCAAATTGTGTTTATTAGACAATTATGCTATAATTTTATTATGTTCTTTATATACGTTAGCCCTGATAGGAAAGTACTTTTTAACCAAACAATTATGGATTGTATTTCTTAAATATCTAACTGCAAATATGTTTGTATAAACATTACATAAAAATTACTTACCAAATATAAAAATCAGAGTTGAGACAGTATACTTTGTCGTTGGTCTTCTCCTTCCCCATAATTGTAGCTTTGTAGTTTAAATTGTTGCCTGTTCATCGCGAGATATTTAAAGGTATATAATTTTGTTTTGAAAGCAAGACCATAGGCAACACGACGCAAATTATAAGGTTTTTATAAACTAAATATACTTACTGTATACGTACGTCCGAGATATTTCTTATAACCGAGCTACATTTTTTACGCTTTTTTACAAACGCTGCGTAAATAATCACATATTAAATACACCTCCAGACAATATCCTTCAAAATTACCTTTATAATTTAATAAAAAACATTTTTAAAGGGCCGTAATTTCAGACTGGCATAAAAATTAGATTTTTCCCGCGCTTGCATTTTCTTGCCGACTCCGAGTGCTATCCCCCCGGTATGCAAATTTGACGGTTTTCAAAGAGCCAATCAGATTACGTATTCGTCATTTTCAAACGTTCTCAAAAGTCAACAGCGCGGGTCCAGCATCGTCCCATTCAAAAAATGAGTAAAATATTAAAAGCTTTTCGCATTTTTCTCGCTTCCATAATTTGTTTTCAATATTAAAATATAGTCAGTATATAGTAAAATTATCGTAGATTTCATTTCTGCTGTTATTTTAGCTTAGTTTTAGGGATAAATTGAAGTATTTTTGGATTGTTTGCATGTGTCCATGTCGATATCGGGATTGAAGTTGCCTACCTTAGGATATATATATACTATATAATGCCTACATTGCCTGAACACTGTCAGGCACGCGAGTCGCCCGTTGCGTAATACACAGGATGTCAGGATTTTAGTTAGCATGAATAAATGATACATGTTTCAATTGAATCAAAATACGGAAAGCTTTGTTCTAATTTTCAATATTTTAGTGCACTTTTATTTCAAATAAAACCATCGCTATTGGGCTGCCTATGGTAATATTAAATTATTTATGCACAAGATGTCTTAAGTTACACTAAGGGCCTGTTTACATGGAGCCGAGTTACCCGGGTAACCGAGTTACTCGCCTTGCCGGGACAAAACGGTACTGTGTTTATATGGAACCGGGTAACTCGGCATTTGTTACGGTACATTGTAATTACATGACGTACTTACTATGTAGGGCGCGAAATTTCAAAAAGGTTTTTACAATGGTGGTAAATGAAACGTAAACGCGCATGCGTGTTTGGCGAATATTCTACTCGCCTAGCCGAGTTTCCCGTTGCAAAGTGTTTACATGGTATAAACCGAGTAACTCGCCTTGCCGAGAACCCGGCACAGTTTGCCGAGAACTCGGCACGCCGAGTTACTCGGCTGCGCCATATAAACAGTCAACCGAGATATCCATACAATATATAGCACAGGCGAGAACTCGGTCCTGCCGAGTAACTCGGTTAGCCGGGTAACTCGGCTCCA